AACAAATATGTTAAAATAAAGCTGAACTCAAAAGAACTATTAAAATTCGCTTCGCGCGAAAAATATAGGTATAGTGGAAAACCGGCTATTGAACCGGGAGCAGTTGTTGAGAAAAACTCATTAAATATCGTTTCCAAACGGTCGGTGGCTTTGAATTTTGTGTTAAACTTATATCACTAATTTTATTCATTACAGGTCCTTCTGTAACTGAACCTTTTCCATGCGGTTCAAACTCTGATAGCTAAACGAAGGTCTGTGCATGTTCAGGCTAATGCTCTGTGTTGTGAAACTCTCACATTTCCTTGGGACTGTATAATTCAACTGACCGCGACATCTAGCGAAACCTGCACACTTTACGTTTAATACATATATTTCACAATAACGATAAAAATCTACAGAGTTTATATACAGCTACATGAGTTTATATACAGCTACAGGCTACAGCACAGGAATATCATGTTAGTCCTTTGCAGCCTCTTTACCTAATTTAAGTTTATAAACAACTTACATGGACGTGAATGGATTTCGAGTTGAAGACGGGAAACTGAACGCAGTGGTGAGCGATACAATATCTGAAACGCAAAGCCAGGAAGTCGTAGGGAAAATTGTTTATATATAGTTGCTATGGACGACGTCGAGCATGTGGGCACTACCCCTATATACAGGTGCCTATATAGACTCGTCGACTGACCTATTCCCGAACGCTGTTGCTGATCTTTTTGACGACATGAGACGGGGAAATCTCGAGAAACCTTTGAAAATACCCCTCTGAAAAGCGCCATGTAAAAAGTCTTGCGGGAAAGATAAACAAAAAAGAGAGAAGACTGTGTGCCTTTATATTGTATTCATTCTAAATATCTAAAAAGCTTAATTATAACAATATTATATGAAGATTACGCTAATGCTGCAAGAACTATAATTCGTAAATATAGTTGTGTTACTTATCGATCAGTTACATTCATTTGCGCTATATTAAAGAGTTACTGATGACAGTTATATAATTACAATATACTAATCAGGTAATAACGGTGATATACTTACAAAACACTTATTATGGTAAATACTTACAAAACACTGAATAATCAAGGGGTGGTTGTACGAAAGCTGAATTGCGCTATCAAGCGGATATAATGAATTCTCAACTGTTGCAGAGGCTGGAACGGCAAAAATATTACAGCTTCGAGACCAACATTTATTAAAGAGAACTACTGAAGTTAAAAACGTGCAATTTTAGAAATAGTCACTAAAGGGTGGATAGAGCAATCCGGCTTTCGTACAAACAGACTCTGAGCCTTAATAGCTTAGCCAGGAAATTATAGTATAGCATTAACAAGAAATCATTATTGGAGTTTGTCAACTAAGTCGATGAATGATTTAATAAATTATGTCTCTGATGCTTCCTGCTTCGCATTCCACCTTAACCTTTACAATATCGCCAGTTTTGTTCACTATTGCCATAAATTTCTTGATTTTCTGTTTTAGACTCTTGTTGTGGGTATCTTTTTGCTCAAATGTATATTCGGGCAAAAATATGGTAAATACAAACGGAAGAGTAGCTATGACGAATGTGCTGGTGATTTGAACTGGTCCAGAAATGTTGGATTCTTGGGCTAATAAAATCATGACAAACACAAGAAGGCAAAAATTGACCATGAAATACATTCGGATGAAGAAATGAAACAATACTTTGTTATACGGAAAGATTTTTTCCCGCAATTTGTCATAGAGAGCTTCCAGAACTGTTCCATCCTTAATGTTCACCTCAAACTCGTTGTTCGATAATTCATGTTCCAGAATTTCTTCATTTTCCAGATTTTCTTCATGTTCCAGATTATCTTCATTTTCCGGAATTGCTTCATGTTTTTCTTTATGTTCGTTGCAAACTTCGTAAATATTTGTTTTAAGTTGCAGGTACTTTGTTTCTACAAACGATCTCCAGTCTCGCCAAGAATAGACAACAAAAAGTAATATAGGTGTAATGATTGGGCTGTAAAATGATCCGTTTAGATAAAAACCAATGACTAAATAGAGTGCAGAAGAAAGTAGAGCAATAAAAGCGATAAAAAAAGCAATTAGAGATGCATAAAGAAGAAAAAAAATAAAAATCATCCAAAATATATTCCATTTAGCAGATTGAAATGGTCTAGCAGATCGTGAGATAATCGTTCGAAGAGTAAGACGTTGGATGCCAGCAAAAGCATGTAAACAAGTAAACGAAAAATATAATGGATAAAAGATCACAAATAAGAAAATTCCAATTGCTTTTAATAAAAGCCCATCACCTTTTAAACAGGGTAAGTTGGTGATCATTTTCCACCATAACTTAACGTTTGCAGGTAATGTAACGAGCAAAAGAGATTTCTCATATATATTTTCATCGCTTTCATCATTATCACGTGGATTACCAACTGCAGATACCGCAAAGACATCAGCAACCGTGAAAAAAAAGCCCCACACCGATGAAAAGACAATCCAACCCCATCCTGAGAAATAAACTGAGAGAATCACCGAAACTACCACCGCAAACGCGAACCTTCTAAAACACTTTTTCGCACGACTTTCCGATGCCTTGATAAACACATAATAAAAAATGTATGAAAGTGCCATTGGACTATCAATAATCTCGTAGCGATCACTTTCTACATGGAGTGATGACAAATAATTTAGCATCAGAGGAAAACCGATGGAAAGAAAGAGAATTAGCACTGCCCAAAATATGTAACGATCAGCATGTTTGAGTATAATTGATGAATGGTCAGCGCAGATTGTCAGCTTTCCGCCATTCACAACCCTACAGCAGTTGTATTGTCTCACGTTTTTCTCATCCCTATGTAGACGGCATAACTTATAATCATGAACTTCGTCTAAACGAAAGAGCTCGTGCAGCAGAAAATCAAAAACAATTTCAGATCCTTTGGTTCCTTTTGGCAAACATCCGTACTCCTCCGTAACAATAATATTCACTTTTTCGATACCAGCTTTGAGTGTGGCCAGGTGATAAGATCGCGTATTAAATAAACTGGATGGGGGGTTAAATGCAAAGCTTTCTTTTGCAATTAGTGAGATAATTGTTCGACCAATTTCGCTTGCCCAGGACCATGTGAGTTTGTAGTAATTCTTACTTGAACTGATAGTTACTTCTATCTCGACGACATGGGTAGTATACTTATGCATAAGACTCAGAATTTTCTCGATATCTGACTCATTAATTCGAAGTTTCACCGGGTAATATCTGCAGATGGTGGATTGGTTGGATGTCGAATTGGCGTTTGTCATTTGCTCGTCGATAGAAATATTCTTACTTCCTGATGAAGATGTTGAATTTTCCTGAGAAAAAACAGCCGAAGAAAGAAAGAGAAAACAAGCTGCGAACTCAAGGAACACAAGTGAAGTCATCTTGCATGTTACCAAAAACAGTTAACGTTTGTAACAGACCGGCAACTTCGCAACCTGCAATATTGTATGAAAAATCAGTTTTAAAACCATATTTTGAGATTCAGACAAAAAATTGGTGTATGTTATGATAGATTAGTTTTCTCTTTGAAAGCGACACAATTTCTGCGGTGTTCCTCTGTGCATGTACATTATATAGGTAAGCTTTAATTATTTCCAAACTATAAATGATTCTCGTTAGCTGATTTTATCAATGACTCTGGTTAAAAAGAACACCGAACCATGCACCTCTGGGATTCGTTGTGCGGTTATATGAGCTCAATAGGTTGTTGAAAAGGAAAGAAATCTATTATATGAGCAGCTAAAATCAATTTATTCGTGAACAGGTGCATATGTACTCAAGTGAGTGTTCCGTATACCTGTCGTGAAGGGCTGTCACAGGCGGCATAGTCAAATAGTTGTTGTAACTCATGCATAGAGTGTGTTCTAGATTTAGACTTAGGGTTTATTGACAGCACAAAAATAATTGTATTTATACCGTCACAGGAAAGAATGCATTAATATAAATGTATTGTCCACGTAATGGAAAAAGGGACCGATAAAGCACCAATTAAACCGTTGCGTAGCTATGTGTCGTATTTATTGAACAATGCCGTAATTATTGAAAGATGTTTCGTTTTGTTCCATGCTGTATTCACTTCAGACTACTGTTGCCGTTGGTAGCTACAATCACGCGTTATCCATTGAGATTATAGTTTCAGACAGCTTAAAACTTAGCTAAAAGGAGGAAAGCGTGAAAACCTTACTTTAGGTGGCTCATAAAACAAGACATAATTGGATTGTACTGTATTTTGCTATATTACCCAAAGACCTAAAGTGAACATATTAGTGCATAAATTTCAAGCTGGATTGTCGACAAACATCATAATTATATCAATATGGAATCCTTTGAAAATTTGAAAAACATTGACAAGCTGCCAGCAAACCAGCTAGGATGCTACAGGATAATTTTGCCATTTATAACAAATTTAGCGTTCATGGGCAGAAATCGTGAATAATGAATAATATGCAGCTTGCTATGAATTTGCATAGATGCAAATTTCTTCGAATTTTCTTTGCCGTAGGAACACTTGCATAGTAGTATGATTCATTGTACACACAAAATATCATATGCATGGGCAAAAAAATCATATGTAATTTTAACTCCCAAAGGCAAAGGGAACAAACTTTATGTTCTAGGTTAATTAATGGGTTCACTTATTTGATATGCTTCGTATACCCATGAGATATTTTAGGCAACTTCTGTCACATTACAGCCGATTACAGACACATCGCAGCCAAACTTGAATTTCAAAGGTGCATGTCAGTTTTTTTTTACTTACCCTGTATAAAGGTAATTGTAATTTGTTTGCATAAAATACCTCGGTCTGACACCCGTTCCGCGTGTTCTAAATCACATATAATGAGAATTCTAAGTTTTAGAACATCGGATATATGTGACATGGGATGATCATCTGAGCCATCTAACACGTTCGCTGTTTGCTGTACTGGGAACGAGCTATTTGTTATTATTGTGTATTATAAATTCTAAATAGAAGTTCGCTAAAATGGCGGATTCTTGCAAGCGTTTTAAGGCATGCAAAATTCGCGTTAATACGCAGTCAACAAAGGGAAAAAAAACTACAAGACATGTGCGTTTAAATTCAAAGAACTATTGCAAGATTTCTCAGGAGTCAAGTTCGAGTAAGCAGAAGTCTTTCACAACGGGAATGGAAGAAGAACATGTTGATGGTTCAAATATCGACGATATAAATAGCAGCCATGAAAGTGATGACCAAGCTTTTTCTAGTCTTTCACGATATCACTTGCGCCGGGTGAAAGAGTATCACAGTTGGGAAGATGTGAGGGGGTCTCTTTTGCAAGCACGCATTGAGGAAGAAGCTTTTTGTGACGAAAGTATAATGTGCATCGAGTGCCATAACAACTTCGCTGTTTGTCGCTGCGTGGATTGTGGTCCTAGACAGTTGTTTTGCATCAACTGCGCGAAAACTATCCACGAACAACGCAACGTCTTTCACCTACTTGAAATTTTCAAGGTGCGTGTGATGTTTTTGGCGTAAAATATAACATATTTCAATATCTTTTATATGTATATTACATATTCAGAACTGACCCTACCCCAGACCCAACTGTTTAAAAATTAATGTTGCTTATTTTCTCAGGATGGTTGTTTTGTTCCTTTATTTGTTAATCATGGTGTTTTGACTCTTGATCACCAAAGAAATTGTCCAACTGCACAAGCACAAAACATTATTTGTATTGATGAAAAAGGTGGGTTTATTGGTACTGTGGATTTGATAACTGTATTCAAGTTTGTTTTCAGTCCTAAAATAATTGTGAGAAAAGTTCTGTAAGTTTCTCCTTTGGTGCATTTTTATTAGGGCATCAACACTTGAAATGGATCAACTTTTGTAACTGTGAAGATGCTGCAGTTACACTTGTAAAGTTCCAATTATGGCCAGGATCAGCTGTTAGACCTCAGGTTGCATTTCATTTTAAGTTGGTTACACTTGCTGAGACACTTCTATTGGAATGCCATGTATCGTTAAAGAAATTTTGTGATGTGTTGGGCCTCAATAAGTCCAATATGCTTCCTGTTTGGGTATGTTATTTTGTTATACATTTGAAGCTGAGTAATTCCATGCTATTTCAACATCATTCAGAACAAATTCTTGACACCTAACCTTTCCAAATACTTTATGTTTATATATTTTCTAAATAGACAATTCTTGATTAAAATATAATAATAATATAGCATACTGCATACCAAGTATAAATTATTATATACTGTGTAATATTTATCTGTGTGAAAATGACATGGGATTAACTATATAAACTCTAAATGCTCTAAATGACAATAACTTGACTGTTTTATTAACACTTTGATGCTTGGAATCTCCATTGGACAAGTAAAATCATATAGGGTTAGCCAGAGTAAAATACTAGAGTCATGCCATGGGCATTAAATAGATAAAGAAAATAACTATAATTTATTACATATTATTGATTCCAGCTTTAATGAGATATTTCAATTTGTTTGATATATAAGACATTAAATTATATTTGCCTACTAATTATGATGTTAGTTTGGTTGCCAGCTAACTAGTATACAGTAACTATAAAGTCTACAAGTGCAGATACTCATGTTCCGAGCGAAGTTTAAAATTTCATAATTAGTGGACGTGCAAATATACACTTATTTACATATCACACAAATTGGAATGTCTCGTTAGCAAACCATGAAATGAAGTGAGAAACTAGAAAATAAGTTATATATACATGTGAAACATATTAAAGATTTCTTTTGTGTTATAAAATAATCAATGTTATGTCATATATGGTACACTTTAATTATATACCATAGATAAATAAATTTATTCATACATTATATATTTTTTTTGGTTTTCTAAGGTTAAGAATCTCTATAAAATATTGAATGATGATTCTTTTGATGAATTTAGGTAGGGGCGTATTTTGGTTAACTGCATGACACAGTACTGTTCTTGTCAAATATTTTATTTTATTGTTTTTGCAACTTTTTATGATAAATTTTAAACTTCAATTCTATATATATATATATATATATATATATATATATATATATATATATATATATATATATATATATATATATATATATATATATATATTTACAATACCAACAATAATATTTTATTTATGTAGATATCACCAACATTTGTTCAAAACAATGAAACAATTTGTCTTGCAACAAAAACCTGACAATGTTTGCCCGTTATGTCCTTTGCAGGTATAGAACTCCACAGGTATTTTTTCTTTTATGTCACATTCTCCTTTTTGTATTTAACATATTGTGATAATTTTGTAGAGTGAAACTGATACTGACAAGAATGTTGCCATTGAGTGCATGGATGGATGTTTTGGGCTTGTGAGAAAAAAGTCTGCTGGTGCGAATCTTTTACCTGCCAGACACAATGGTACATTTTTTGCCAATCAGGATGATGTCGATAGCTTTGTTGATGACAACTCAAAGAAGGCAAAGCAAGCCCCTACTGTAAGTGGTTACTGGTGATTGTACTGTAAAAAGTAGTTTTGTTGAATATTATCATTATTATAGAAGAATCCACTGTTTTTCCTAGGATTGCAATGAATTTAAATCTGGTGAGGTTAGTAACATGTTACGATCCAAAGGAAGAAATAAGCTTTTTGACGAGAAGGGAGTGTTTGGTAGAGTATGCAGACATGAATACCCAAGGGGATTTATGAGTATCAAACATGGAGAAAGGTGAGCAAACAGTCATCAAATTAAAGTGCAAGTGTACATGTTGATAGTAATTTAGTGCAACATACTGTATATTTTAGGATAGCATATTCAGTGTATGAGGTTAAAAAGCTTCTGTGTCATTATGATGAGGATACTGATGTTAAAATAATGTATGACATTGCATGTACTTTGTCTGCCCACCTAAAGGTAAGGTATAGGCATAGCTGCCTGATTACAGTTTAAATTCTAAGAAGAAGTAAAGTTCTGTCATTTGGAGATGTAATCTCATGTGCAATTTTACATGTATTGAATATTTATTATATATGAATTTCAATATCCATTTGCATATATATTTTATTTTTGATAGAAAAACGAAGAGCATACCATTCTTGGACGCATTGACTTGGCAATTCCTGTTTTCCATGCATATGGACATAAATCTTCTTGCCAGGTCAATATATGGTTTAGAAGTTGTCGGTTTTGTTATCAAAAATTTAATTGTCATTCTTAGGTGCAGTAATGCAGTATGTCGCATGTTGTTATTTATCTCAGAATTGTCCCGAAATGTAGGTTGCTTTTGGTCCTAGAAGAAAGGAGGGATTTGGCCTTACTGACGGTGAAGGAATTGAAAGACTTTGGTCTTACCTCAGAGGATTTTCATCAATGACAAAGGAAATGACAGCTGGTCGAAGGGTTGACGTATTAACAGATGCGCTTCTTCACCATGCAAGACATCGTCTTCTACAGTTTGGCTAGTTGAATATTTCTGCCTTGGTGGATTTATGCCACCAATATCATTACAGTATTGGTAATTTTTTTGCGACTATATATTTGTAATTCAATGCTTGATTTTTCCCCACAGGTCCGGCATTGTTGTCTAAAATGCAAAAAACAAAGAAACTAATGGAAAACTCAGTAGTACAGTTGGAGGAGATCTTTTCAGATTTTAAAGGTAGAACATCTTATCTAACATTTGATAGTATTAAACAGTTATTGGATGAGGCTTTTGTATATGCGGAAAATTTCAATGTAAGTGTTAGTATCATAGTGCTGTCATAGGTCGAATTACGTTATAATAGAAAAGTCTTTCAATTTCAGTTTCCTATGGTACTGATGTAATTAACTCTTGGATGAAAGCAGAAGAGAATATGTTGTTAATGAGAGGCAGTATGTACCAATTATAACGTAAGGAAATACCGTGTTCATTTGTAACAAGACGTGTAATATTATCATAAACTGTTGATGTTGTAGAGAGAAAACCATCGCCCATGTCGTGGGAGGCTAAATACGTACAGAACTTAGTTTTCTTGCAGGAACTGAGGTTAGACTGATAATGATATATTTTGTGCATTTCCTGGCTGATTGTTCATTTATTTTTAATTAACAAAATATTTTCTAATACTTATAATGGTATGCTACAGACAAGGCATTGCTTCAACAGAAGCTGAAAATCATGAAACCATAAACGAGCTTGTAAAGAGGAAGAAAGCGTAAGTATTGGAACTAGCGACCGAATAGAATTGTTTTTGGTGTTAAAAGTCATATATACCTTTATGTAACTTCAGGATTTTAAAAATTGTCATGGGAATTGAAAAAAGCTACAAGGTTCACCCAAGATGGAGAATGGGCGAGGAGAAATTCAACGTGGCAGCATTGTCTGTTCTTCGGGATAGGCGAAACCAAGCATTAGAAAAATTATACTCACTTGCAGTCGAACGTATGTTCTTATTAAATTTGAAGCGAAAATATGCAGGTATTTTTTTTTTGCTATAACTCAAATTGTGATCGTTTGATGATCCAAGAATTATGCTTGGTTGTTTAGTTTAGGTTGGCACCATATAATTATCAATTAAGCGGACTAGTGATTCAATATAAACTGCCTTTTATTCAAAATGAAGGCAAAACAAAATAATGTAAACATTAAAAAGGCTTGCGTCGCGTAGACGCGTACGACCCCTTTAGTAGTCATATGTTATAATGGAAGTTGAAGTTCGTATGCTAATACTGCAATGGTAAAACTGTTTTAAGTTTTCAACATGTTTATTCACGGTGTGCCGTATCCTATGAATCGACATTACTTTCATTTGTAATGATGAGCTTTAATTTAAAATGGGAATTCCCACTCTAAGTTTGACATGACTCATTCGTTTGTGTTTTTTTATCGATTAATAGACGGCCAAGCAATTGCAGAGAAAGTTTCTAAGCAGATAACACAAAGGACGAATTCTGCTAAAGTAGTTGTTGAAAAGTACAACGCTAGCCTTGCTGCTTGGAAAGACAATGTAACTGGGTTGCCAGAAGAGCTAGAGTTTGACAAGGTAAAAGATCCAGAATCCGACCTATATAAGGATTTCAGAGAAAGCACTTTGAGTGAGGATCAAGTTCCATATTCTGTGAAGAAAAGCGCAATAGATTTGCATAATTTCATCGAAAGATGCAAGGAGGAAACAAGTTATTTGAAAACTGAAATGTGTAGGCTTGTTACGTATCACCAAACCCAAAAGTCAAGTTTTTTAGAATGGCTGAAGGACAACAATGACTCGTCATCAACCGTACTCATTCGAGGAATTCGGTGCATACTTCAAAGAAAGATTCTGGAAGAGGAAAACAAACTAATTGTTCTTGGTGCAACGTTTGGCAATCACCTACCAGATAATGTATCATCGTCCATTCCAAAAATCGAATGGAGTCATGAAAGCACCATGCCCTCTACCAAACACGTTTTCGAGAACTTGGATCAACTAGATGACCAAAGGGAACAGAGTGAAGAACAGGACGATGAGATATTGTCAATTTTAGACAGTTCAGATGACGAGGTTGAAGATGAATCTGAAATGGATTTCTAAATAAATGCAAAGCTCTCTGTATCATTTTGCATGATGTTTGATGTACATAATAGGTTTTTTAATTATATATCTTGTCTATACAATCTGATTTATTTTTAGTGCACAAGCATAGTCTCCGTCTAATGTGTGGAAACATGCATGTTTTAATTTATTAAAAGAAAAATTAAAAAATTATATAACAACAAATATTAAATTAAATTATTAAAACAATTGAAATAATTTGTCCCTCGCATATTACGCTTTAGTATAAATTTCCAGGTGACTATTGATTTTTCCTGCATCCTCATTGCTCAAAATTCACTGTGTTTGAAGTGATAGTCTCTTGTTGGTGAATATAGCTCTGTTGTTTTTTAAATAAGAAATTTGAATAATATTCTTGTATGTTTGCTTGGTGACATCAATAATTAAATTAGCTTGTGTAAGTGCACCACCTAAGTATTTTTAAAATACAGCAAGTTTAATGCAGTGTTAAATACTTACGTGGGGTACCTACAAGTTAAATTAATTAAGAAATTTGAAGTAATTATTATGTTGATTCAACTGTGTATCATTTTTGGTGATAAGAATAGATGTGCAAAGTTTCAAACAATAATTACTTCGTGAAGTTTGAGTTCAATCACGCATGATCTGCTCTGACACCCTATAATTGCACCTAAGTTAGAAAAGCTAAGCCTATTTTTTTCATCGCGCACTTCCATTCTCTCAATTGATCTGAAATTTTAACTGTGTATAATTTTTTGTGATACAAATAGTTGTGCAAAGTTTCAAGCAGTAATTCCTTCGTGAAGTTATAATTCAAGCACGCATGATCTGCTCTGACACCCTATATTAATTACACCCCTAAGTTAGAAAAGCTGAGCCTATTCTTTCATCGCGCACTTCCATTCTCTCAATTGAGCTGAAATTTTAACTGTGCAGAATTTTTTGTGATACAAATAGTTGTGCAAAGTTTCAAGCAGTAATTCCTTCGTGAAGTTTGAATTCAATCACGCATGATCTGCTCTGACACCCTATAATTACACTTAAGTTAGAAAAGCTAAGCCTATTTTTTCATCGTACACTTCCAATCTCTCAATTGATCTGAAATTTTAACTGTGTATCATCTTTTGTGATACGAATAATTGTGCAAAGTTTCAAGCAGTAATTCCTTCGTGAAGTTTGAATTCAATCACGCATGATCTGCTCTGACACCCTATATTAATTACACCCCTAAGTTAGAAAAGCTGAGCCTATTCTTTCATCGCGCACTTCCATTCTCTCAATTGAGCTGAAATTTTAACTGTGCAGAATTTTTTGTGATACAATAATTGTGCAAAGTTTCAAGCAGTAATTCCTTCGTGAAGTTTGAATTCAATCACGCATGATCTGCTCTGACACCCTATATTAATTACACTAAGTTAGAAAAGCTAGCCTATTTTTCATCGCCTACTTCCAATCGCTCAATTGAGCTGAAATTTTAACTGTGTAGAATTTTGTGATACAAAAGTTGTGCAAAGTTTCAAGCAGTAATTCCTTCGTGAAGTTTGAATTCAATTACGCATGATCTGCTCTGACACCTTATAATTACACCTAAGTTAGAAAAGCTAAGCCTATTTTTCATCGTACACTTCCAATCTCTCAATTGATCTGAAATTTTAACTCTCTACAGTAATTGAACATCATTATGAGATGGTTTTGCACAAATAGAGAACTAAAGCAAAGAACTGTGAGTTATTGAGAAATTCATGATGATTGGACGTGAACTAGAAGAGACTTACGCCTGTATTCAAAAAGCTCACTCACACTCATACTCATCGAGTGTGACATATAAATTTCGTTAATGCTGATCAATGAGAAAGTTTTTTTCTGAACAGATGGAAAGATATAAGGTAAATCACTGAAAATCAAGCCCCTGTTCGGCTGGAAATACCGCCATTGAAACGTTATGAGAAGATTAAGATCTCCCACTCAATGAGTTTGAGTGTTAGTGAGCTTTTAGAATACAGGCGGGCAGTTCCTGGGTAAGAACCTATTTTAGATGGATATAAACATCGTAATGTAACATGAGATCTGTTCTAATTTGAAACTAAAGGGGCCTTTTCAAACCATGCATGTACACCTTTCATAGTTGGTAACGGAAAATGCGACTACCAGGATTCCATTAGACTGCAGTTGTTGGTTTGGTCCGGTTTGCACATAAATTAATACATTCTAGCAGCCGAAAGAAATAGCGGGCAATGTGATAGAATTTTTGTCGGAAACTTTTTGAGGTAACAGCTTTCAAATAGATAAGGCAAAATAATTTGATGACTTCACATTTCAAAAATACGCTCTATTGCAGGTGAACTTTTAATTAAATGCATGTCATTATGCATGTGTCCAGATGACTGATGATGACAAGGTCAAGGTGCGTTGACGAATCATTACAAACACAAATGCAAATGTAACGTAATAAGCCTTTAATAGAGTGAATGAACGCAGTCAGATATAGTTTCAATGCAACAATAACTATTAAAACTTATTCACACATATCCATAATTTTCCAAACACGCAATGACTCTATCATGGAATGATTGGCACACAACAACTTGACTCCTTCTCTTTAGAACGATCTTTCGTCTGAGAAGAATTGGTTCAGATGAACCATTTTCTTGGACACTAATGATGTTAATGGCATTGATTGACATTTTCTTATTTGAAAATATTAACTCATACTGCCATTGCTCTTTTGTCTGATTCAACCAGTAGCCCCAAACTTCGGCATTTGGTTCCAGACTTAGCAAATTGGATATTTTTCCAGGATAATAGAACAGCCAGTACGGTTTATCCGACTCGGTATAGACTGGTATTATGTAACCCTCATGGTTACAAGCACTTTCATAGTTTCCTTTCAGGGAATTCCAGCCATCTTCAGTGAAGTACTTTCGAAACCTGGTAGTGAGATGTTGAAATTCTTGTTCGGTAATTTGCAAATCCTTAACCTCCAAATCTTTTTCTTCTATTGAATACTTGCCAGAAACGACTTCAGGTATCAGTTCCTTCTCAATAATTTTAGAAAGCAAGTTCTGAATGTCTGATGGGTACAGATGTACTAGCCAGTGGGTCATGGGTTAGTTTTGAATCGTTTATGTTTCGTTCTCGTGTGATGTGAAAGATAATTTCTTCCGCATTCATCATTACTTTCTTTATCTGATCACTTCCATAATTGAGCGGCTTCTTAAAAATAATTCCTTCAGGCAGTCCAGTAACTGTAAAACCACCTTTTTTGTAAGGAACTCTACTGCCAGGAATCCCACATGCTTCACCTAAAGTAAAATAAGAGACGGAAGGTTTTGTAAGTCTTTCCGATTATTGCAATCTGTTAACAAGTTGATGATGTACATGTATGTACCTGACAGATTTACCTGTATAATGTAACCGACAGGTTAAATTACATCATAAATTTACAAAAGGCTATTTTTACAATTAAAAAATATTAATCTATCATTATATAAAGTTATTAAAAGTGTAAAAAGTTCAGAAACTACCAAAGTCAAATAGGCCTAGAACTTCAAATCGATTGTTTACAGTTTTCCTTAAAATAATTATTTTGTATAGTTTTTAGTTCTAGTTTATTTAATTCTTCCATAGTTTCTTTCTACTTCCAATTATGTAACTAATGTCTTGTTATTGTACCGCAATCATTCCATATAATGGATATTAATAATACCAATTCTACCAATGTACTTTCAACCATTGGATAGTTCATGTGATGTAAATTCAAAGTGTATGAGTTATTTTGCAGTGAAAGAAATCATCACAATATAATGTACAATCATTGAAAAATTTCGCTGTAATGTTCAACAAAAGTGCTTGTAATTTACAGTATATAAAATAACTTTGCCGACAGTATTGCTGCTCAAATAACCCCCCTCCCCCAAATCAATGTTGAATTGTTATGTTGAAGCCTTAGCGCATCTTGCCTGCGATATACTCTAGCATTTTCATCCAGGCAACATTGATTTGGAAGTGTTGGTGAGGGAGGTGTGTGGGAAGGGTGTGGTTGAGGGGGGGGGGGGGGCGACGGCTCGTCACAATATTTTTGTCAATGATTGTATTTACTACTCCATTATGACCAAACAAAAGTCCCTTAAACATATAAATTATAAATTAGCTATATTTTAGTTCATCAATACAAAATAAATAATTAAAAGCCATGGTAAGATATCAATCTACAAGCAGTACACACGTGTAGGCAATCCTCTCTCACACAAGCGATCATTATTTTGGAAATAAGTGTGGTTTATACAAAACACTTACTATATTTCTCGTTGAACAGATTCTGGACATCGGCACGGGTATGTTGTTTGTCTTCCGCCGGGCGATCTGTGGAATTAATGTTGACTACTTTACTACATGTACAACACACAACAATACAGTATCAACAAAAGTAGTACAAACAAAACACACTGGAAACTCCAGGTAATATAGTCAATCAATTTTCCAAATGCTCCATTGCATTGTATTTAAAATTGTAAGGTACAAACTTAATAAATTACCGTAAATTACCGTATATTACTGGGCTTCTACATGTCAACTTTTAATAAAGTAGGAATTTGAATGTTTCAACATTTTAATAAAATTGAAAATTGATTATTATGTATAAAATTGAATTTCTGAATTGGTAAAACGCCTATTTTGTTTGGAGTCACTATTGTATGATAGGCATAAGCTAAATTAATCTACAGTACATTTTAATAAATTACCAAAGAATTCCATGAACTTTATTGCCACTGCTTCGTTTTGCATGAGAAACTGAACACCTTTGTTTGAACCATGCTGATTGATGTTCCCACTTGGTTCTATCATCACAACAGCCACCTCGCATCCCAGGTTTTCCAGATAAGAAATCTTTAAAAAAAAGTCTTCATAAATTGAATTGAAATTTACCACTTGGGTCTCCTCACCATCTTGAGAAGCAATGCAAGCAGTGAATTAATTGACCATATTCCTTATTCTTCATCTACTTTACATACCTCTTTCATGAGATTTTTTTTTGTCTTGGCAATGTGTTTTCGTCTTTCGTCTTCTCCCAGTTCTAGTGGACGTATTCTGTCAACCT